AACCAGAACTTATGATTTGGAATGAACATCACCCAAACACCTTCTGTTAAACTGGACAGGAATAACTTCCCGCCGTAGAAGAATATGATCATGCCTATAATCAAATGGCATAATCTAGAAGGCTTCCTGCTGGGGATAAATGAATGTCCACCGGAGTTTTTGGCTATAAAGACAATCATTGTATAAGGAGAAACAATAGATTTGACTCAAAATCCTGAGTTCATCAAGTGGACTTCAGTTGACCAACTCTTAATGGGTTGGCTATACTCCTCTATGATTCCAGAAATTGCAATGAAAGTGATGGGGTACACAAGTTTGAATAAGCTTTGGACAGCACTAGAGGAAAGCTTTGGAATATTGAACAAATTGATAGTGATGTTTCTCACTAGAGATATTGTAGAGAACCAGGAAAGGATCCATGTCAATGGATTAGTACCTAACTACCATCAAGCAATGGCTAATAATCTTGAAATAACTGGGAAAGTTATTGACCTAAGTAACTTGATATCCCAAGTTCTATCAGGTTTGGATGAGGAATACACACCCATTGTGGTTCAGATCAACAGCAGGGAAACTATATCCTGGTATGAATTGCCATCTGTACTTATGACATTCGAAAGTAGACTTGAACATTTGAATCAAGTCAAAAAACAACTTTACATCATTAAGTGTTAACCAGTCAAGTGTTCAGTTGGCACATAGAGTTGGCTCAGTGATTGGCAGAGGTTATAGAGGATTCAACAATAGTAGATCCTCAAGCTTCAGAAGGAGTACAAGGGGCAGAGGTAGAACTTAAACTGGCAGACAAAGTGAAACTAGAGGCCTATGTCAAATTTGTGGGCTCAGTAACCACTTAGCAAGTTGGTGCTTCAATAGGTATGATAAAAGATACATGGGAAGCAAACTAGGAAATTTCGTGCAATAGAACTTCAGCTCTACACCCTCAGCCTATGTAGCTTCACCTAGAGTTCTTAAAGATCAAGCTCGGTTCATTGATTCTGGTGCGAGCAACCATGTTACAAATGATAAAGGTAACTTGCACATCATTAAAAAATTTAAAGGTAGGGAAAAATTGTCAGTCGGCAATGGGAATATGTTACACATTGCACATATCAGGAATGAAAATTTTCTGCAATGAGTAACAAATCACTTGCTTTAAATAAATTGTTGCATGTTCCATCAATTAAAAAGAACTTAGTTAGTGTTTCATAACTTACCAATGATAACAATGTGTTCATGAAATTTTTTGCTAACTGATGTGTTGTCAAGGATCTCCAAACGAAGAGGATCATGCTATAGGGAGCACTGAAGGAGGGATTGTATCAGTTGCAGCCACCAAATTTCAAATAAGAAAGTATTGCTCTCGAATCAAACCACCAAAATAACTTCCACTGCTTTATAGCCAATTCTGGTAATGATCAGCTATCTCCAGTTAAGCAAGTGTTAGAGTCTGAACTTCATATTCCGTATAGAAGGCTAGGACATCCCTTGAATTATGTCATGAGTCAAATCTTAAAGTCATGTAATGAAGTCATTAAAGCTAATAAAATTCCTACATTCTATAAGTCATGCAAACTTGGCAAATCACATGCTCTACCATTCACCATCTCTCCATCACAGGCTTCAAAACCCTTAGAACTTATTCACATAGACGTCTGGGGACCAGTTCCTTTTAAACTCTACCACATGTCATAGATATTATATAATTTTTGTTGATGACCATAGCAGATTTACCTGGATATATCCAATGAAACACAAATCAGAAGCCTTAACCATCTTTGTTCAATTCAAGAAACTAGTTGAAAACAATCTGGATAGGAAAATTAATTCACTACAATCTGATTTGGGAGGTGAGTTCAGGAACTTTAACAAAGTAGCCTTAGAGTCTACTATTGAACTCAGACATTCCTGCCCCTATACCTCAGCACAAAATGGAAGAGTCGGACGAAAGCACAGGCACATCACTGAAACTGGGTTAACTTTCTTAGCTCAGGCCCAAATGCCCTTTTACTACTGGTGGGATTCATTCAAGATTGCAACCTACCTAATTAACAAACTACCTACCCCTATTCTTTATCACAGTTCATCTTACCAAACTGTATTTGGAAAGATTTTTTACTACAAACAGCTAAAGACATTCGGTTGTGCTTGCTTCCCTTGCCTTAGGCCTTATCAAAAGCACAAGTTCAACTTCCATTCTAAAAGATGTGTCTACCTTGGCTATGGTGATTTGCAAAAGGGTTATAAATGTCCGAGCTCAAGTGGTAGAGTTTACGATTCTAGGCATATTGTGTTTAATGAACAAGAATTTCCATTCAAAACAGGATTCCTAAATAAGCAAGTCACAATCTAAAACTTGTGAAATCTCCACGAGTCTCCTTCATTTTGTTGATCTCAGTCATAATATTGTACCTTAAAATACCACTATTACTGGTACAATTCAACTCGAGGCTCCATTTGCAGCAGATCACATTAATGGAGAAGTAAGAACTGGTGATGAAGGTGATGAGGCAATGGAATATCATGATGATATAAATCAGGAAGAAGCAGCAAGTCATGAGATAATTGAAATCCAACAGGTTGAAACCGATATTCAGAGTGAAACAGAAGAAGTAAATCTTTAAGATAGAAATGTGGTTCAGAACACTAGTCATCGGATGATCATTAGAAGCAAGGCTGGAATCTTTAAACCAAAAATTTATGCAAGCCTAGCAGTGGATGAACCAGCAAGTGCTGATGAAGTATTGTCAAGTATAAGTTGGAAAAAAGCCATGGAAGAGGAATATAATGCTCTAATGAAAAATGAAACATGGACATTGGTACCACTAAAAACTGGAATGAAAGTTATTGGCAACAAGTGGATGTTTAGATTGAAGTATGATTTGAGTGGGAAAGTGCATAGGCACAAAACCAGACTAGTTGCTAAAGGATTCCTGCAAACTCTGGAGTCAATTTCAGTTAGACTTTCAGCTATGTTGTCAAAGCTTCAACTCTGAAAATCATGCTTACGTTTGCAGTATCAAAGGACTGGGAGATTAGATAGATTGATATAAATAATGCTTTTTTGAATGGTAACCTGAATGAAGTAGTTTACATGAACCAGCTACATGGCTTTGCGGATAATAAGCATCCTAGTTATGTGTACAAACTCAAAAAGGCTCTATATTGTTTAAGACAAGCACCAAGAGCCTGGCATGAAAGGCTTAAAAATACCTTAGTGGAGGGGGAACTTCAGACAATCAAAGGCAAATAATTATCTATTCTTCCTGCAAAAGAAACTTGTATGTTGTTTGCCTTGATATATGTAGATGACATAGTAATAACAAGTAACAATAGCGAGCAATTACAAGAGTTCATTAACAAGTTGAACACCAGCTTTGCACTCAAGGACATGAGCAATCTTATACAGTTTTTGGGAATTCAGGTTCAGAGAGATGCAGCTGGATTATACTTGACTCAAACAAGATATGCTATGGATTTACTGAAAAGGTTTGACTATGAAGTGCAATTGGTGGTCTCTAATATCTTGTTCACATAAGACCAGACATAACTTACTTTGTAAATAGGCTAAGTCAGTACCTTCAAGCACCAACAGACACTCATTGGAAGATACTTAAGAGAGTTTTCAGGTACCTAAAGGGCACACTAAGTCATGGACTTGCTATCCAAAAGAATAACAGTCTTGACATCACAGCCTTTGCTGATTCTGATTGGGCTTCCAATCCAGATGATAGAAAGTCTACTGCAAGGTATTGCGTGTACATTGGAGATAACCTAGTGTCATGGTGCTCTAAGAAACAACATGCAGTAGCCAGGTCTAGCACAGAAGCCAAATACAGAGCATTAACTCATTGTGCTTCAGAAATCACTTGGATTCAGTCTCTGATGGAAGAGTTAAGAATACCACAACAATCAGTCCCTATTATTTGGTGTGATAAACTAAATGGAAGTGTATTGGCGTCAAATCCAGTATGTCACTTTTTTGAATTTAAGTCTCTCTCTCTCTCTCTCTTTTTTTTTTAGTTTTTGTCACATTTTTTATTGTTTGTCAATTTTGCACATTTTGGTGGTAGAGGAGTGGTAGAAATTGCATAAAATGATATATTTTAAGGTTTTGATTAATATTTTGTCACTTTTTTGAATAGTGTTTGTCAATTTTTTTTTCCATCACTTTTTTGAATTTTCTGTGACATTTTGGTGGTGGTGGTGTGGTGGAAGAGTGGTTGGATTTGTATAAAATGATATATTTTAAGATTTTGATTGATATTTTATCGTTTTTTCTAATATTTGTTATTTTTATTTTTCTTACGTGTTTGGATAGTGTTTGTCACTTTTTTTAAAAAAATTTCTATCATATTTTGGTGGTGATGAAGGTGGAATAGTGGTGGAGAAGTGATTGAATTTGTACAAAATGATATATTTTAAATTTGTGATTGATATTTTGTTACTTTTTTGAATTTTTATAACTTTTTTGAGTGTGTTGTCACTTTTTTGAATAGTGTTCATCAAAATTTTTTTCAGTAACTTTTTAAAAAAATTTGTCACATTTTTTATCGTTTGTTACATTTTTTTTTTTGTTAATAAAAAAACTAACACTTAAACTTTTAAAAGTGACATTTTTATATAAAATAGTGATACTAACTTTATACGGTACTTTTTACTTTTAAAAAAACTTTTCACATGATTTTTTTAAAGATCTCTAATTTTGAGGATATTTTTGAAAGTTGTCCGTATATTTAAGATGCAGGCCCAATATATTTTCAGTCTATCTAATGGAGCCCATCATACTACAATCTCACGTTCTAAAGCCCAATAAACTCAATCTTCTATATACGACACCGTATCGAGTTTCCTGAAATGAAATTCTTAAAACCCTTGCTCTTCATCATCTGAAACTTCAAAAACCCTAGCTGAAAAACCTTAATCTGAAGTATACGCATAAGCAAATCTGTATATATATAAAAAGAGAAATTGAAAATTGAAACTTTATTCTGCTACAAATGTCTGGAGGGAGATTCCGGGAGCTATTGAGGAAGTACGGGAAGGTTGCATTGGGAGTGCATTTTTCAGTCTCCGCCACTTCAATCACCGGCCTTTATATCGCCATCAATAACAACGTCGACGTGGAATCAATTTTTGAAAAAATGGGCATGCCCAGCCTCGGCAAGAAGCCGAAAGAAGGCGAAATCCCTGAACTGCCCTCATCAGAATCTGAAATTACGACCATTGATACCGGTTCCTCCTCCGAAGGGTTCATAATGGAACAACCGGTAATGAATGATGTGAGAAAGGAGAGAAATCGGACTACTGACCTGGTGGCTTCGAGCGGTGGGGCTTTGGCGCTGGCGGTTTTGCTGAATAAGGCTCTGTTTCCAGTTAGGGTTCCGATCACTTTTGCCCTTACACCGCCGGTGGCAAGGTTTCTTGCCCGCCAGAATATTATCAAGAACAATGTATGATCTCCCTCTTATTGTTTATTTTAGCTATCTGTTACCACATTTGTTCTTTTTTTTTTCTGGTATGTGGATTGGAATAATTGCAGAGTAATAATATACATTGGGTCGTGAATTACGTGTCTTATTGTTTAATAATACATATGATTTTGCATCTTTGGTCGTGACTGTGCCAAAAAAAAGAAGCCAAAAAAGCTGCATTTAAGCAAGACCAAAAACCCTGTAACGGTATTTCGTCTATGGAAATTTGTAATGTTATGTTCATGCCAGAGCCAAACTACAAGTTTATTCAGCAGTTTACAGTGTTATTGTTGCATATTTATGAAGAAATTCTATGTTTTGGATATCTGTCAAATAAATCTTTTGGTGTTGCAATTTAAGCTGAACTTAGAAGTTGGGAAAGCTGAAACTTTATGCTTAGCATAACGTGGCACATCTTAAGTGTTTGAGCTCAGATTTCTATAATACATTGAGCAGGAAAAAAATCTTAAGTTTCATTCGATCAGGGGAGGATTTTTGTTTTTTAATGTTGAGAACGGAAATAATGAGGTACAGATGGAATCTGGATGTTCATAGTTTAAGAATGAGGTTCAGGGGATGTTTTTGAGTTAAGAAAGAGATGCGGATGGATGTTTGTCAGTTAAGAAAGAGGTGCGGAAGGATGTTCGTTGGAGTTTCATTGTGGTTCATTAGATGAATCCAAAGATGTTTCTCTGGCTTGATGCTTTTTAGAAATGCTAAATATTTGTTGCAACCACGTTGAGTAGGAGTAGAACTCACCCGTAAAACTGAATTTAAGGGTAGGTTTCCAAGTGTTTTTAAGCCCACAAGCTTAACTTAGTGATTTGATGGTCCACATTTCAAGGTAGGTGACTTTGAGGAATTAGTCTTCTACTTGTTGTAAACCTCTCGAAGTGACCCATCCACAGTGAGGGTGATCCTTAAGTGTCTCACCTAGTTCCAATTGTTACAACTACATGGGTAGAAGTTACATTTAAAATCATCCCATAAAGGGAGGGTGCCTAAGTGGTTATAAACATAACTTAGCGATCTTTGACAATGATTATGATATTTAGGAGTTTGTGAACTTCCCATCTTCAAAAGCTTGGACATTTTTTTTACTTGAAGTGATACGAACCCAGTTACGGGAACAGTGTGGAACTCGTGGAATTGATTTGAAAACGTCGGAAAAGCTCACATCCAGGTTGTAAACGATAGAATCTCGACCCGAGCCTCACGATTCAAGAACCTAAGGTATATTAAACCTTAGACACGTTGATATGCGAAAACAAGAACCTCGATTTGCTAACACCACAAAGGGTGCCTAATCCTTTAAGTTCTAGACGACCATTAAATTATTGAACCAAGCAACCAAACAAAAACGAAGTTCGAATGACCTCTTAATTACAAAACCATCGAACCTCGATTTGCGAACGCCACAAATGGTGCCTAATCCTTTGATAAGTTCTATAGATGAATGCCACAAATATTTAACACAGTGTTCTAAAACTCGCGAAAATGCGCCGCCTCGTCGCGACGCGAGGCCAAAACGCGTCGAATTCAGGAATGCGCAGGAAAATGCGTTTCCATCTAAAAGGCGGCGCCTAGGCACCCCTAATGCGCGCATTATGCCGCCCAATTTTATTTTTTTTGGGTAAAAAATCTATTTTTTTTATATAAAAATATATTTAATGCCATAAAAATACGAAACGGATTATGTCGCTTATTCTTCGGATTAACACGCCTAAATTTGTGATTCTTGATTCTCGGACTCGACGCATCACAACGTATTACGCATTTTAGAACACTGATTTAACATATTTGATAAGTTCGAAATTTCCTGGCAGAACCCATGGAGAGAAAAATCTCAATTTTTATTCATACTGTCAAAACTGT